GCAGCTATTTTAATCTCCAATTTTGCTCAGGAATTAAAGGAACTAAACTATGGCTTTTTTAAAGTTAAGGGATATTCTACATAAGTTTAAAAATAAATATAAAATCTAAAACTATTGAAATCAAGGACCTGATTGAGATTTAAGAATAAAAATTTTAAATTAATATTTTAATTTCTCATAAAAACTCTAACTTTGATTTACACAAAATGTGAAAAATGTCTCTTACACCTCTTGTGTTCTAGGTTCATCCTTCCATAACGTGGATATTTTTTTTTTGGTTAGCCCAAGACTTCCATTGAAGTCCTACACTTATGCAGGAATATCTACATAATTTACTTATTGAACACGTAACTAATATATTTAATAATATTGCCTTGATTTAACTGATATTTATCCCATTTGCAGTTGCCCCCGTGATCGTGGTGCCGAACCAGCTGGTGGGAGCGCCGCTCAACACAGACGTGACGCTAGCCTGCCACGTCGAGGCCTCGCCCAAAGCCATCATATACTGGATGAGGGACTCGAGTGAGTTGGCGAATTATCAATTATTAACCACAATATGCCTCCTTGTTCGGGTGACACCTGTCCCGCTGCCTTAGGGATTGTCACCTCATCAAGTATGCAGTAAATTATGCCTGTGCCTGCTAGATTAAGGATTAATATGAGAGCTATTGTACAAATTATTGCTGATAATACCATTAACAACAATGACACCTTTATCAGAATCAATTTATATAATTTCGATGATAATAATAGATTTATATTTGTTCCTATTTGCATATTTACATTTGCTGTGTACATTTTATTATATACATATAGCTTGTCTCGTAAGTAGATGAAGAAGCTTATAATACTAATAGCAGACCTCACGAGATACAAAAAAGTCATATTAACAATGGGCCAATCCTCATCAGAAAAGTAGGAAATACAAGTTTTGTCTTTTTATTTATTTATTTGGTTGTATTTTAGGTGCCGTGTGCAACTTTATAGGTTAGAGGCACCATCTTGTGTGTACCAATTTGAACAATTACTGAGGCAAACCTTTCAAGATTTTCTCCGTGAGATGAGGAAATTTCAAAATGCCAAAAGTAATCGCTACAAGCTTTTGTAAAATTCTCCCAATTGCCTTTGTCTATCCTCCATTTCCCGATATACTGTGGAAGAAACGGGTCAATTTGCAGTGAAAGCAAAAGAGGTAGGTGATCACTACCTGCAAGATCACAATGGAAGTAAGACTGGGGAATTATAGGAAATGAGCAAGAGGCTAAACAGAGGTCAATAGAAGTCCAGGTTTGGTGAGCTCGGCTATAGAAATAGGAACTAGCTAATGCCTTTGGGCAGCACTTATCTAGTATTTCAAAAATCCTTCGGCACTTCATGAACTTCAGTTCCCTCCTTATCTTACCCTTGATAATGAACCCTACAATTCACCCTTTACATTAGATGAACTAAACCAAAGTATTAGCTCATCTCGTTCCAAATCACCAGGTCCAGATTAGATTCATATTGAATTTATAAAGCGCTTACCAACAAGATTAACTGACCAGTTATTGAAGCTCCTCGACAATATTTGGATAAATAGAGACTTTCCTAAAAGTTGGTCATCTGCGACAGTAATCCCTATAATGAAGTCCAATAAAGATCCAAAACTCGTACAAAATTATAGGCCCATCTCTCTTACGTCAGTTCTCTACAAAGTGACCGAAAAAATAATTAACCGCCGCCTTTTATGGGAATTAGAGACAAGGCATCTACTAGACAGCGAACAATGTGGATTCCGTTATTCTAAATCAACAATGTGTTTTTAAACTAAGTCATGTTTATTGTTCAAAAGGAAGCTATAACTAAAGAAACGTACAATTTAAATAATTAACAATCACTTCACAGAAAACTAGAAAAAATTTACTTCAAATGAAAATATGGTTTGCTAATTTAAAAACCATCTTAAGAAGGCTTCTGTAGGGCTTAACTATGTTTTGTTATTAAAAATACCATAAATTATTTTTTTTATCATCATACAGCTATATTGGCACCCGTGAAGCGGTTGAGAGGGTAGCGCGGGGATCTCTTGGAGTTCTGCTTTTCCTTCTATAGTTGGAGGGAGAATCCTCGCTTGGAGTTCCCTGCCTAATTGTATATATTGTTTATAGGTATAACTGTGTTTTTATGTTTTTTAATTTACTTATCTTTAGGTTATATTACTTTTTTATTGTATATAGTTTTTGATTATTATTTTACTTTCGTTCATTTTGTATTTTCTGTATATATGGTGTGAATGTGTTCATATATCACAATAATTATTGTCCACGTGACAGATTTTTATATTTCTAAATAAATAAATAATTTCAATTTCATCCAACTATAGTACAATTATCTCACTTTTTGAGAAACTTCCTCGTTGAATAAGCTTAAAATCCACATTGATTAAGTTTAGGATTATCATCGAAAATCTTGAGATTCACGTCATGTCGTGTAAAATAATTATTTATTTTATTTATTTATTCATTTAAAAATTTAAAATAAATTTTGGGATCAGAAACATAAATTTTGTCACTTGTTAACAGGGATCAATTCCTATGTGTTTTCTAGGAAGAAAAAAACAGTTACGTAACTGTTTATTTTACATAAAAAATATTTGAATTTGTTTTAATTTTTATAAATTAAAAGTATATTTAGACTATTTCGTTTATTACAATACATCCCACATCAGGGAAAAACAAGAACAATAGCTTTTCAACAGATAATTGTAGTTATTTCTGCTGAAAACACCGGTAATTTTATGTGACAGAATAGGAAATCATGTCATGTTTTTGCACAACTTTAAGTGAATCTCAAGTTTTTGGATGATTATAATTTATGATTGAAAAAATGGAGATTAACATAGTTTAACCACTCAAAAGTCCGTGCATCAGAATAGGTTGTTGTTTGATCAAAATTTGATGCATTAAGTCAATATCTAGGCAAGATACTATTAAAGTAATTATTTATTTCTTCCGTAAAAAAACAACACGCATGACCCCAGCAATAGCCTACCTTAGAATAAACATTATTTGTTTTGAATGGAGATTTTTTTTTTTTTTTTTTTTTTTTTTTACATTTTTTGCATGTCCCAGATGACTGATAGGGATCTGGCCATTGACCTAATCGATTCGCTTGTCATATATGATCCATTTTTCGTTGAAAGCTTTCGAATCGTGCAAAATAATGGTTTATTTCTTAACGTGCAAGTATAGACGATTCAACAGCTCACGTTCGTTCAGCTCATACAAGGCTCAAGAATAAATGATGACCCATTTCTTTGACGTGCAAGTATAAACATACCAATCTCTTAAGTTTCAACTTCTGACGCACGTTCAGTTCGTGCGGAACCAGGGAATAAAGCATTTGCATCTTTCTGATCAATTCTTAACGTCAGTAAACGGTTAATCGCCTATTGCCGAAATCAGACACAAGTTCTCATGTGTTTTTTAAAGATCTTCGTCCTCGATTTATGTTGAGACCATCAACGGGGTAGATTCTCTAACATTATATCTTTTAAAATAAATTTAGAAAACTAACGACGAATGATTTTTTCATTAGAACTCTCTCCACCATTAGCTTGATAAATATTCCTTATTGACTAAGTTTAAACTCATAAAAATAGATTGTTTGAAAATCGTGTTTTCGTTTTAACGTTTGAAATAAAAATAAAATCTGTATGCCTAATTAGAAAATAAAGAAAAACTGTTTGTAAATGGTGGATTAGCAAGTGTTTATTACATACTAACATTTTTATTTTGAAGTTTAGACCTGTTACCTAAGTTGGATAAAAAAAAAAAAAATTTCTTAATGACAGAAAGATCAAGCAGCTGCATTTTCAAATTATATATTAATATATCTATGTATACTGGTGAAGAGATTGGATAAGTTTCATTGTCATCAATCCGGACTGGGGCAAGTTGGAACTAGACGAGAAGTTGGAGGGACAACTCCTAACCAATATACATATACTGTCAACAACTGTATTCAACGGGCGACCGATACTATTTCAAGTACTAATATAACTATTTCACAATCAATTAATTAATAAGTTGACTTAATATTTAATTACTATAATTATTATTGTTGTTAAAATACAAAATTATTTATTTTCAGGCAATTCCGGACTTTATTGATATTCCATAAAACTAAAGCCTGCATAGGACTATTCCATAGTTTTGTTAGATGAATTCCATGTCATATACGGCAAAGGACGTAGAAAGTAAAATTCAGCCTGAATATTTTGTTGCTTTATAAAATATTATTCTGTTTTTTTTTTTAAATGTAGTATTATATTGAGAGTTAAAACTACATTTACACTATATTTACAGAAAACATTTTTAAAAAATATCAGCAAAATGAGAATTAAATAATAATGAAAATTATATACAGTAAATATAAATATAACAATTTAAAGATAAGTAAATAAAATAAAATAAAAAACCACAGACATACCTATATAAATTATTTACAAACTGGCAAGGAAACTCCAAGCCAGGCTTGTCTCTCCAAGTACCTAGTTCTGGCATAAATATTGTTACAAAAGTTGAACTTTGTTTACGTCCTTGGGTATTATTTAGATAATCCTAACCTCTATCAGTTTATTTTCATTACACGTCAGAATAATAATCCCAATTAGTTTGTATTTCTCTTGCTCTTAACATGGTGTGGGGTGAAGAAAATATGATCACCTTACATAAAGTTGGAAAATATAGGTCCGAAATTTTCAACACTTTGAAACCTTTGAGTATCAGCCGTATGTTCGTGTACCACACTATAAGTAGATATAATTAGACCCTATCTGTATGTTACAGACTTCGACCGGGCCGTCCGGTCCACTGTGAGAACAGCAAATGCAGTGAGAGCAGTGGCTGCTCGAATAAGAAGAGATCCCATTCGAAAACAATAAATGATTTTTTAGGAAATGCGAATCAATGTCTCACAAAATAAAAAGTGACCTTAGGATGGGTGCATTTTGAAGAATGCCAGGACAAAGGATAGCCACTTCCCTAAATAAAAGATGCAAAGTGCTCCTTGGCCGTTACACCAATGATCTTCATCGAATGATTTTGTTTAGCGATGAGAACATTTTTACAATTGAAGAAATCGCCAAAATGACCGTGTGTACTCACAGAAGCCCAGGAAGTCAATACAGTGGAAAGAGGTTATCAACCTTCCTCAGTGATAGTTTGGTGGGGACTTTGCTTTGATGGCACCAAAAAGCTCCATTTTTGTGAAAAAGGAGTAAAAACTGCAGCTAAAAAATATTAGGACGAAATTTTGGAACCTGTTGTCGAACCTCTAAATCATACCTATTTGCTGGAAGTCATTGAGTTTTCCAGCAGAATTCCGCTCCAGCTCACAAAACAAGAGCAACTCAGCAGTGGCTGCAAAAGAACATTCCACTGTTCATCTCTTCCTCGGATTATACCTCAGAAAGCCCTGATCTCAAGCTTCTAGATTATCAGCTTTGGTCCTAAATGGAGAGGATTGAATCCCAAAGAGCACACCCTGACTTGGAAAGCCTCAAACAATCTCTGGCCCGAGCAGTTGACCGCTTACCTCAAGAAGTGCTGTGTCCTCTTGATGAATGGTGACGGAGATTAAATGCCTGTTTCAAGGCAAAAGGAGGATCTTTTGAGTAATTTATTTTTTGTTTCACTCTCTATAGATATGCATTTTATTTTCTGATATATTTTTTGAAAAAATTAATTTTCCTGTTGAAATCTGTATATTTCCTTGTAACAATATTTACGGCAGGACTAGGTGTAGAAAGAAAAGCAGGATTCAAGAAGATCCCTGAGATACACTCTCAATCTCGTCACTTTAGTACCAAGGAAGTGGTTGAGAGATTGTAGTGAACCAGTGGGGATAGAGTGAGACCGATTTACCTGTATATATATATAGTAATAAATAATTTTTTTTTTTTAATCTAAAACTCGAAAAGTGAAAGTATGAAAATAATTTCAATAGTAAATATTATCAACTTAAAAAATGAAGATTGAAGACGTGCTTTTTATAATTGATAACAAATAAGTAAAGAGATATTTATTTCAGTGGTAGAGGATGTAACATGGCAACCCTCACTCCAGTCCATAGCTAACTTTGTTCATTAAAGAGGTAATTTTCACTAGGCACTTGTTTCTAGTTATCGTATTACACTTTATTAGTAGAAGCTGTACACAGAACAATTGTGAAACGCCTGAGAACTGCAAGAAGATTTCTTAAGATAAAACTCTCGTATCGACCATATCGTGCCATTAAAGCGTCATTTTTTTTTTAAGAGTCCAAGTTATTTTCAATCATTCCCAAAATGTTATATTGCAGATAAATTTTAATTATTTTTAGTCCCTAATTATTCTTGCGTTTTCGGATATTTTCTGCGTTTGGTCTTGGACTCTCGAATATATTCATGTACCTTCTAGAAATCAATGCCACTCCACCCACATTTTTGTATTTATTTATTCCACACTCCCATGCCACAATGGCAATACGGGTGTTTGCGATAGTGTGTTTTAGGCATGAATACTTAATAACACACTACTACTAGATGGTCACACAGTTTTTCTGTTCTATCTTCTTCCTTCTTGTTTCGACCTTGCTTTCAGAATCTGGAGGTCTTCCTGGCGATTGTCTTCTTCTTCTGCGGGCACCAATATGGAAGTGAGTGGGCCTCACCATCGTCTTCTATCCTTATATGACCGCAGGAAATTTTCCTCGCTGACTAACTGAGGAAACTCATTTCCAGTGAGGACATAGACCCGCGGCTCTGGTCATTGTCGCTCTTAACGTTTCAAATGCGGTGCAGGTCGTGACCACGTGCTCTACAGTTTCCGGGACACTACAGAGTTTTGTTGTTATACTACATCTTCGTTAATTCTTCTGCAAAGTCAATGATTCAGTAATCATTTTGGTTACTATCATCACCGTCAGGTACGAAAAGCTATCCCATCCCTCAGAAAAATCTTTTCTTTCATCAATCTTCAGGAAAATAAATCTAATTCCATTTTTTTTGTTTCTTAATGGACATATTTAAAGCTGTAAAAACTTTTCTGAAATAGGTAGGAAAGTTGTTTGAGTGGACACACCAGATTTTTTGTATGTATTTAGTTATATTATTTTGATGTTTAATTTATTTTTATTAATTGTACATAGATTGTGAATGTGTTCAATGAACAATATTATAAATGTTCTTAATTGTTAAAGATTGTAACATTTCTCTATAGATAAATTAAAAAAAAAATCAATAAATTAAATGTGCTAAACACTTTAGACGTGCCCTTACAACTAACTTCACCTCCTATTTCATTCACTCCTTCCCAGATTGCTGAACAAATCAAAAAGTGGCATAAAAGAAAAGCTCCTGGAAATGACTTGATTAACGCTGAAGTGCTCCAACAAATGCCTAGAAAAGCTCTAGTGTTTTTGACAACTATTTATAATGCAATACTGAGGACAACTAAATGTCACTACAGTGGAAATACTCACATATAATAATGATTCACAAGCCTAACAAGGACAAAAACTCACTTTCCTCATACCGACCAATCAGCTTACTACCTCTCTGTTCCAAAATGTTTGAAACCTTACTGGACAAAAGACTTGTTGATAAACTAACAAACACCCAAATAATACCTGACCATCAATTTGGATTTAGGGCAGATCACTCATATACACAAACTACATAGAGTAACTATGTACAGCACTAGAGCAGAAAGTATATGCAACTGGCGTATTTCTGGATGTTGCTCAAGCGTTTGACAGAGTTTGGCACCAGGGTCTTCTCTTTAAACTCAAGATAATACTCCCACCTACATATTATCTAATTCTACAATCCTTCCTTTCCGATAGATTTTTCTAGGTCCGAGACGGCTCAGAACTATCTTCCATCAGGTCTATCTCAGCAGGAGTACCTCAAGGTTCAGTACTCGCTCCACTACTCTATATCACATACACCCATAACATACCTTGCAGTCCCAACATTTTAACAGCGACATATGCAGACGACACAGCAATTTTAGCAAAACACAAAAATCCAACATACGCCTCACAGACCCTACAACAGTATTTAACAAGATTACATGACTGGTTCAAAATTTGGAAAATCCGACTATATCAAGACAAATCACAGCACATCACATTTAAGCTTCGACATGAAACATGCCCTCCAGTTTTCCTTGAAAATACACAGATTCCACAGACAGACACCGTTCACTACCTTAGTCTTACATTTGACAGAAAAATGACGTGGGGCCCACATATAATCAAGAAACGAAAAACGCTAAATCAAAGGTTAAGAATTTTGAACTCACTTCTTTCGAAAAACTCAAAATTAAAACTTAGACAGAAATTTAACACATACAATTACTTACTAAAACCTATTTGGACTTACGCATCACAAATATTTGGAACTGATAAAAAGACTCACTTAAACAAACTTCAAACCTTTCAAGCAAAAACATTCAGGATAATCACAAAAGCACCTTGGTACGTTAGCAACATAATCTTACATACTGACCTCCATATGCCGACTAGTGACGAACACATACGAACTCATTACAAACGATTCTATGACAACTTACAAGGACATCCTAATACACTTATAAATGACATTGCCACTACGAATATGCCAGGTAACGTTTGTAGGAGACTGAAGAGGAGCTGGATGAGGGACCTCCACGCCTAACGTAGATATCACGCCGAGTGAGGTGCCGCTGGGCATTGATCCTCCTCATGCCTTTCATGGCATTATTTTTTCCAATCAACCTCACATTCACTGTTTGTCATTACCATTATGACAGGTGTGAATGAAAAAAAAATATATTAATTGTTTCTGCTGCCTAGCATAACAAAGATTCATAAGTCGATTAGTTTTGTGCGAAATAAAACACGTAAGGCAATTGACATGGCAGAAAAATAACAAAAAACTTTCAAGTGTCACCGTTGGAAAGAATTCATAAGTTAATCGGATTGAACGATGTTTTGTGAATAAGTGGATTCCCATCGTTTACCAATTACATTGCATCACTTCGTCACTTTACCTCTCCATCGTTCAATCATGTCAATTTTTCACGGTCAGTCGGAGTGACGAAATCCCATTCACTCCTCATCCTCTCTATTAAGAACATTTTAGATTCCACAATCATGGTTGGTACGAAATTCCATAATGTAAGAAGTCATTAAATTTTAATAATTCTAATTCACTAAATTTAAATTAATTTAGTCGAAGAATTTTCACTTATTAATAATTTTTATCTGCATTATTTTGCGACTTTGTAATTAATATAAATTTTTAAATTGTGTAAGAGTGCTTCTAATTTTTTATAAATTCGTCAAAATTTATGTCCACCAGTAACTTCGCAAGGTCATCATGCCGTTTAAATTTATAAATATAATTTAAAGACTACTTCTTAACATAAATGGCCGCTTGAGTAGAAATGAAAACAAAAATAGGTTTTTGTTTTAAATTTTTTTAACAGGGATCTCTGAAGCCCATTAAAAATAGTCACTCGCCAAAAATTCATTCATTCTAAAACATTTCATATCATATTAATGCAATAAATAATAATAAAAAAAATACAATATTTTTCTTATCTATTGGTAGCAATAAAGACACGCATTTACTTATTCATTATGTTACACTTCTCAATGCAATGTCCCTGTAATTCTAATTATAAATATTTAGCATACGTCTGATTTACATAAATATCAATAGGACCAGCTAAAGACAGTAATTTTTCACAACAATAATAAAACCAATCTTAAAATTAGAAAAATATAACTTTTTCCTTCATACTTAAATATTTAGAAGATGGCCGAACTTAATTTATGAATTAAACATAGAACAAATAAAATCAAATTATATCAAATATTTTGTAAAACAAAATAAAATCTTATACTCTGTCATTCGATAATTCAAAGCTAGAACAAATATTTGTCCACCCATGAATTTTTTGTTGCAAACTTTTATGTTTTATTTTTTTTTAATTAACCACCTAATGTTTTATTATTATGAAAAATAAATCTAATAGATATTATGCCCTAAAGGCGAATTATTATTATAACAGTATTAAGTGTACTAATTTCATGCTTTTAAGTAATTTGATATGCTTGGGGAGCGATCCCCTATAGCTATGCTAAATATGTTATGCTGGTTGGAAGGGATGGTAAAGCGGAAGCAGTTACCTGGTGAGAGGTACATATTCTATTCATTTATGCCTATGAATACCTGTGTACAATGATAAAGTAGATCACGAAATACTTCATAAGGTCAAAAAAGAAAATGAAAACAAAGACCTATGTGAGTCAAAAAAGCAAATGGAGTATATTCACGAATACGCTCCACAGGCATTGGAAGAAGGAAGTGAGGGACAACACAGTGCTCCTGCTATTTAAAACAGTATTCATTCCAGTTTTGCCGTATGTGGCGGAGAGTTGACAACTCAGGACTGGCATGCGAGCAAAGTGACTGCGATATGATAAGGGGGAATACTGTGAGGTTCCTGAGTTTCTCAGAAGAAAACCCGAAGAGACCGGATGGGCAATGAAAGTATCCGGGGTATCGCCTGTAGGAGAAGTAGTGGATCATATTAAAATGGTTCGGCCAG